CGCATTATTACTCTACTTCTTAAGAGTCCAGCCCAACACCCCTTCGCAAGCGTACTAGGCGAGGAGCTGCTAGCACCTCCAAGGCAACACCAACACGTCAACATTGAGGTACCTAACTTGCATTCATTTTCATTTAGTTTGCATTTTATTGCATTGCATTTAGTTTATATTTAGTTTAGTTCTCTTTAAGCATTGAGGATAATGCTTCCCTTAAGTTTGGGGGAGGTAGTGTTCTTAGTAGGACATATGCATGATAGTATTAGCATAATATTATGTCACGACATCAGTAAATTGTAGGACAGTTAGATAGAATGTTTTGAGGATACCCGATGATGATCTTGTTAGGCTAGAATCTGAATGTAAATAACTGTTGAGAATGATAGAACTCACTTTAGGGCTTGATGCTTTGTGAAATTTTTTTACACGATTTGTATGTTCTCTGTACTTAGAAAATTTGGAAAATTTTTATGAAGGAACTCTAGTTAGTTTTGGCATTGAAATATGGTATTGTTCTTAAAAGAAAAATAAAAAATAACTCCCTTATAAATGAAACTGTGAATAAATGCTTAGGCATAGCTATAGAGGGACACTCCTTTCTGCCGTGGCATTGCCTGGAATTCTCTTTAATAAATGGAAGCCTTGTGCATATGAGTGAATGAAAGAAGTCACGGGATGACTCTACTTAACTAGCTTGGGGTGGAAGGTATGCTCCCTTTCACCTAGAGTGTGGGAGAGTAGGTGTGATGAGCTGACTCCCTTCGTAACAGCAAGTTAAAAAATCAGAAAGGAAAAAGGGAGTAAAGAAAATGTGCTTAATGAATAAGTAAATGCCTTGAAAAAAACTAGGGGACTTGATTAGAAATTGTCTAAGTTTGCTAAGTATAGATTGGATACAATCATGCACAAACACGACCACAAAGAATCTTGACCTAGGGAAAAGTACTTGATTTCTTGATATGCCTAGCATGTTGAAGCCTATTGTTCTGAGGGTTGAAATTCGATTTTGTCCTACTGTCTTATTGTTGAAAATTGCCATGACATTCTGCTTGTGTAACTGCTATCCATTGCTTAAGGACAAGCAATAACTTAAGTTTAGGGGTGTGTTAACTTCCTAAAAAGGTTACTTTTAAGGCCTTTTTCACTTAAGTTATTGTTTGTTTAAAATTTCATTTTAGGCATTTTAAGATCATGTAGTTGCATATAGTTGCATTTGTGGTGGTAGTGCTACTTTATTTCTTAATGATGCTGCTTGAGGGAAATGTACAGTTTGTCTATGATGTGCAAGAATAGCAAGCAAAAAGGATTCGTTGGGAAGTAATGTCGTGGCACCATACGTTGCTGAAGCAGATTGAAATCCCTTGGCATTTCTGGCGCAGAAAATGACAAAAAGATACAGTTGTATGAGGACAGTTGGCACTGCACGTGGAATGATTACTGTAGCCACCTTCTAGAGGACTAAGGCCACCTGGAGAATTAAGTTCATGCTTATGGTGTAATTCAAGGGGTATGAGGGGTATTTCGCACCTAACAACCTAATCATTACCCCTAGATCATTTATTATAATGACACCTAAAGGGAGAGAAGGGAAGAGAGGTGAAGAGGCACACGCATAGCGCAGAAAAAAATCAGATTTTTATTTCCTTTTCCTTTTCCTTGGGTTTTCCTATATTGATTAAGCTCCAAGGAGTGGCGAGCTAGGTGCCGAGAGGAGTAGGGAGCTAAGGTGATTCGTGGTGGCCGAGGAGACCTCTGGTGGCGCGTCGAAGGCTTCTTCTCACTTCTCTTTTTGCTACTATTTTTCGATTTATTTGTGGGTTGTTGGAATGAATATTTGCATGACTTTGTGTTTGGATATTTCGAACCCCACCATGAACTAACTTATTTGGTGGTGGTTGGTTTAATGGATGTTTCGACTTTATTTTGATGATATATTTGAGTTTATTTTGGTTCTTTATTTGCTCTGCTTATGAATGCTTCACCATCTAGGCTTGTAAGAGGCATGAAAATGTCCATTTCTTAGATGAAGTTTAGGTATTCAGGAAAAACCTAAGCTAGAAATACTTGTAAGTATTCGAGAGAACAACAAGATAAGATCCTCATAAGCAATGGGTTATAGTATTTCCAAGGGGCTTTGAACCGGCCTAGGGATATTACAACCTAATCCCTTAGATCTCGGGAGAGACTAGGATAGGATTTCAATGACTAAAAAGGGTGTTTTTATCAATAGGGTAGGCTAGACAACATCGTTGAGTGAGAGCAGATGCCTTGGCATCCTATTCTGTTAGGTTCCTTTGAGAACATTTTAGGAAAGCCATGTCGAGCAAGTAAAGACTAGATAACTTAGATATACCTGATAAATAAGTTTAGCATCCTTAGATCAATCCCTATCATTCATTCCATTGGAAGCTTGTCACGTGAGGATTGTCTTCTTTTAATTTTATTTACTGTTATTTACCATCTTTCATTGCCTCGACATTACATCATTTTCAACACTAAACATCTTATCTTGCCATTACATTTCCATCTGCTACACCATCAGACCATTCATCTACATCCACCTTCATACACATTTTCATTTTGTCGTGACATTTGTATATATAAAGACTAACTATACATACATAGATTAATGCTTAGCTTTGGTTAGACTTTTGTAATTTCACCCAATCCCTGTGGAGATGATACTCACTTATCACTGTATTACTTGAGTGATTGTGTATACTTGCACATTATTTGCGTATATTTTATAGTACTCACAACACGCAACAACGTGTAAACTGGGCTTCACCCTTGCCAGCTCAGGAAAAACTCGAGATAACCATGATGGGCGAGCGATATGACTAGTGTACCGACCTACTTCATCGTGTCCAAAGTGTTGACCAGTGATTAAGCAAAACTTCTCCCGCCCAAAACAAGTATACGCCGGTAGAAAATGAAACCATATCTCTTCATCACCACGTTGTATCCTCTCAGGTAGATCGTTAGTCATGGTCTGAAGAAACAAATGGGTCAATATAGCATCTCCACCTTTCAGCCATAGCCCGAAGCAAGTATCCTCAAACAATTTTCTTTGTACAGGTGTAAGTGTCGACGCAATTGTAGTGGCTAGGCTTAATTTATTCCTTAGAGTCAATAAAGCCGAAAAAAAATTCTAACAAAAACAATAAACATACCAAGTTAGATATACCATAAACTACAAATTATACACTATAACAAACATGATATTAAACAGTGAAAACAAAGCCAAATATGTTTCAAACTAGCACGATATTCACCCAAGTCATTATTCTATCATAGTTCACAAAATGCATCAGATAACATTTCAGAAGTAAGTACTTATATATAAACATTTAAAAGGACAACATATAGGTTTAGTGCAGGTTCAAGGACAACATAAAGAGTAGTAGTTTATTCTTGAAACTTAAATTCGCAACACTGTGAAGTTAGTATTTGTCCTTATTTTTTGGTTGAAGTAATGCAATTCATTCAAGTTTCAATTTACAGAAGAAGAGTAGTTTCTGAAACTTAAAATCACAACGCGAAACTAAAATCGCGTTGCGATTTTCATTTTCGCGTTGCGATTTTCATTTTCGTGTTGCAAATTTAAGTTTCAAAAACTATTCTTCTGCAAATTGAAACTTGAATGAATTGCATTACTTCAACCAAAAGACAAAACAAAGACAAATACTAACTTCACAGGGTTAAAGACTAAACAGTTTAGCAGTATTGGCAGCAACCGAATGAATTTACTAAGCAATCTAAGTGAAATGGTTAATCTATTATTGAAATTACCAGTAAATATATCATCAATTTAAATATGAAAAATCTAATAATAATACAAAAATTTCAAAATAAAAATAATTAAAAAAAACTAACTCTCGGTGGTTATTTTCCATTTGTGACCGTGAATGGTTGTGAGGGTGGCTCTGAGAGATGGAGATAGACGGATTTCGCCGAAAACGGGGACGGATTTCGTCAGAGATGGGGACGGATGTCGCCGTAGAGAGTGAGAGATAGAGATGAGACTGAGTTGTGATTTAGGGTTTTAGGTTATGATTTGCGATTATACTATTTACATTTGTGTTGAGAAATTAATATTGTGTTTCGAATTCGAAAATAAACACGCTTTACGAATTTGACTTCTGTGTTGCGAATTACAGATTCACGTTGCGATTTACAGATTCGCGTTGCGAATTCAGAAAATCGCAATGCGATTTACATATTCACGTTACGAATTTGGAAACTGAGTTGCGAATTTGGAAACTGAGTTGCAAAATTGGAGTTCGCGTTGCGAATTTGTTGGTCATTTTCGCAAATCCAAAAAAGTTGGTTAAAATCGTATATTATAAGGCATTTTCGATCACTGAAATTATTTTCTCTTCAAACAACCTTGGTGATTAAGGAATTGTTATTATTTCTTGAGATCTTGACTTTGAGCACCATATATGTTAAGGGTATGTGTGTTTTTAAGAATTTTTAACAGACATTACCTTATATTAATAAAAAAAATCTACATTGAATTTTCGTATAATTTTTAGGTTTAGAATAAGAATTTAATTGAAAAGATGATATAAAATTTATGAAAAATATTTGAAATTTAATTAACTAATTTTAAAATTATTTTAAAAAATTATTCTGATTAAGAAAATTATCCAATCACAATTGGACATCTCATATACTCACCAAAAAAGATAACATCATCGTAAAACGTTGTTATTTACTCACTTTTTGAGCAAATCATTTTTTTAAGAGGATTAATTGACTTAATTTTAAAATCGACAGAGAATAGAATGTTTAAACCAAATATTCAAATTAGGTAGCTATAAATTTAAAATTAAAAGGACCTTCAAATATATAAGGACTAAAATGCTCCTTTTTATAGTAGATGAACTAAATGAACATCTAAATATAATAAAGGACTAAAATATTTATTTTTATAGTGGAAGGACTAAAATGAAATTTAAATATTGCATAATGACTTCTAATATGCTTTAACCTATATATTTCTCTATCCCCTTCAAAATTCAGAACTCAGCTTGAGAGGGAGACAGAGCTCAGACTTCGATCATCAGTTTTAGGGTTCCTAAAGTTCGTAACCAGATTCTTAATTATCGAAACCCTAAATCTTCATTTCAGGTACGTATTAACCTATCCGGAAGAAAAATCTGTATCCAGTCATTTGATTGTAGAACTTATCTTTGGTTCTTGTTTTGTTGGGTTGATGTTTAAATTTTAGTTTATACGTGTTAAATGTTCTCATCGTGGCCTTTTTTTTTCAAACTATTATTGTTACAGGCTGCTGTTAGCTTTGTAGGTATAATTTGATTAAGCAATTTTTATTCTTTACGTGAACCCCCTTCATCGCGCGTACATTTTTTACTTTGATATGATTCAGGGTTTATGCTTGATTTCCTTTTAGGGTAAACCCCCTTCATCGCGCGTAATGATTTCCTTTGTTGGTTCTCTTAATCTTCGATTAGTTTATTTTGATTGACCAAGCATACTAAAATTTTATTTTGATGAATGTTTTATTTGCTATGTTACCTAGAGAGTGACTGTCAAGGTATTTGTTTGACATGGTTATATTTCGGGGTCGGATGATTTCCCTTCATATCCATACTCATGTATTTGACATGGCTTATTCTTAAAAGTGCAGAAAATATTTGTATGGTATTTTGGTGCTCTTAATCTTCCATACTCATGTAGTTATTGGTATTTTATGAAAAAAATTGGAGTCTGGTTTAGTTCTTTGATTTAGCACAATGTTTGTTTGAAAGATAGAAGGAAAGCGTCTTATTCGATCCAGTAAACGAAATATCTGATGAAAATTTGACATTGCAATGCAGGTCTCAAAGTGCTATTCTTATTCAGCTCTTTCTGTCAGCTAAGTTTCATGCGTGATCTTGACATACAGACTCCTACTGCCTTTTTTAAGCATTTCCCTCTTGTATTGATTAATGGGATCATCCATGAATAACCTAACTCGTATTCTATGTGATTTTGCTAGATCCGTTTGCTGATGCAAATGCTGAGGACTCTGGTGCTGGTGCCAAGGAGCACGTGCACATTCGTATCCAACAGCGGAATGGCAGGAAAAGCCTGACTACTGTCCAAGGGTTGAAGAAAGAATTCAGCTATAACAAGATTCTCAAGGACCTCAAGAAGGACTTTTGTTGCAATGGAACTGTTGTCCAGGACCCGGAGTTAGGGCAGGTGTGTGTCTAACCTCCTACTAAAGCAACCTTTGCCGCCACCGTCATTGTTATCCATTTTTAAGTTTATTGTGTACTCGGTTTATGTGTAGGTTATTCAACTTCAAGGTGATCAAAGGAAGAACGTCTCCACTTTTCTTGTTCAGGTTATTGTCATTGTGCTTTGGTTTATATACATTCTTAAAACAACATGGGTATATTATTCAACAGAGCTATCATCTTTTATTTTTTCTTATTAATGTATCCATGTTCGATATTTGTGTCGGGAATAAATGAAAAGATGGGTACGAGAGTATGGTTCTTTGAATATATAGAAAAACTTGGAATTAATTGAACATACATGTATCTGGCAGATACTCTCAAGTCTGCATAGGTGCCGTTATGTGTTCAAGTCCTTAATTAGCATTTTTGTTTTTTTTTTCCCCTTTAACAGGCTGGCATTGTGAAGAAGGACAACATCAAAATCCATGGTTTTTAAGTTTCAGCTCCCAAGCTTTTTTGGAAGTGTGGCCTCTCGTTTTACTAGCCGATAATTCTACCCACTAATGAACTTATTTATGTCATCTACCTTTTGTGTTATATTTATCTCTAAGCTGGTTTGATCTGATGTATTGAACCTGTGATTCTTGTGTGTTATACTCGTGGCCTATATGGTGTTGAATTTCAATGGAACTGATATTTTGTCTGCCTCTCGCTTGTCATACGTATGTTGTATATATGCATCGAACACATTTAAAAACCAGATTTTATCACACCAACGATGTGGGAAAAAGAAAACATTTATAGAAAAAATAATAATAATTATAAAAGGTTATTCAACTATTGATAAAGTGGTACAAATCTAAAATTTAATGTTCTTTAAAGAGGTTTTGTCAACTTGACATTGGAGACCTTACCTTCCATTGTTTATTCATGAAGAATAGTCAGCAATGCAAGTCAACCAAATCTACAATTTTTACTCACCTTCTCTGGTTCTTTTTGGAAATACCCATTACTTCTGTTATTACATGCTTTTTAGAAATTGCATAGAAACCTTTATTTTGTTTCCTGATAAATTATATATATTTTTTCTCTTTACTGATACTCATATACTTCGATTGTTTCTAGTTTCTTTCTGGGTATTGGGTGATCTATTCTTCGATTTTTAACACCATATTGGCATTTTTCTCATATTTCCTCATGTTGTTGTTACCTTTATCTTCCTCGTCTGTTTCTAAAAAGAAATATGATGTTTTCTTGAGTTTTAGAGGTGAAGATACCGCAAGAACTTTACAGATCATCTTTATGATGCTCTAAAATGGAGAGGAATCGTCACTTTCAGGGATGGTCCGAAGCTGCAGGCCGGTGAAGAGATCACACCAGAACTCTTTAAAGCCATTCAACAATCATGGTGCTCGGTAATCGTTTTCTCTGAAACCTATGCGTTTTCAGGTTGGTGCTTGGAGGAGCTTACTGAGATTGTTAAACAAAAAAAACAACAATGGCCATAAAGTATTTCCAATTTTCTACAACGTCGATCCATCTGATTTAAGAAAACAAAAGGAGAAAGTTGAAGAAGCCTTTGCCATACACGAAGAGAGGTACAAGGAAGATAAAGAAAAGATCCGAAAGTGGCGAAATGTTTTGACTCAAGTGGCTAACATCAAGGGATGGCATTCAAAGGACAGGTGTTTCATTCTCTTCTTCTATATTTTCTAGTTTTAAGTTTAATGATTACAAAGTTTGTTATTTATTAATTAAAAACTAAATATTTAGGCATTTGTAGGAATGACTCAGAATTCATTGAAGATATTGTTAAAAAAATAACAGCAAAATTATGTCAAACATATCCGGTTGTTTATGATGAATTGGTCGGAATTAATTGTCACACCCCAATTGGTGGGGTTAGTTTTTTTAGTTGACTATGATTATAGAATTCACGTGAATTCTCTATCTTTTGTCTTATGTGAACTCTATTATTGTATTTAATTATTATTTGTCATTGTGAATTTTATTTCCACCGTTGCTTGGCCTGCAATTCACAATCAATTATCTTCAAAATTTTCCAATTCTTAAGGCTAAGTTTTTGGATAAGGTTGGCTTTAAAACCAGATTCAATTAATTTACATAAACGAGAATCTTTGTGAGACTAGCAAGAATTCTACTCATTGAAGCCTTTTTGCACATGAAGGTCGTTGAACTCTCCTCGTACAAAAGAGTTTTTGGTCTCTGCAAAAAGCCACATTTTCTGCAGCTTCCTTCATTTTCTTGGCAGCGAGTAGACTCATCTTTTGCTCAACCTATAACCAAACGACCAAAGAATAACATCCAGACAGTAAGAATCAACAAGAAATTAAATACAAAAGTTCATGGGGTATGTCTTTTGATTCCCGATGATTCCGATGTTGGTTGAAGATATGTGCGGTGGGAAGGAGTAGTATGGTAGCGAGGATCAACATATTGTAAATATATGGCTTCATCGAACGGTTGTCGACGATGAGCGAAAGCCTTTTATTTCCAGAAAGCTAAACATTTTTCGGTCGATCCACGATCATCTATGGAGTTTCTCGACGAACAGAGAACAGATTCATGGAAAGGAGATCAAGGCACTTCGAACGGTGTAACTTGGGTTTTGGTTGACGACCATCGATGACGGTCGGCAAGGTGGTAATCGGCGTTTGGGTAATGGCTGATGAAGCTTCGTTGTCTTCCTACAAAGCTTTCGGTTGGGGAGAATCATGTGATTCCAATCTTTCAAGGTGAGTATGGGCATCTGGAATTTGCTTTCTTTAGTTTAATAAGACAGGAACATTATCACGTGGATTGTTGGGGAATTGTAGATAACATGCAAAAAGGGGTAACTACAAGGTAAGTCATCCAAGTAGTTAAAAGCTCAACCTTGTCTCTTAGCTTTTATATTGTTATGATTATGTCATAATGGTTTTATTAAGATCGATTTAGTCCCTAATTTTAGTAATTAAAAATTATATTGGCTCCTAAAGTTTTTAGTTTTAACAATTGGGTCCCCAAATTATTCATTAGATTTTAATAAGTTATTTTGATGGCGAGGAAAATTATTTGAAGTCGTATTTGTACGATAGATTATCCGTGTTCGTTAGAAAAAGATTGGAAGCTAGAAATCAGGTTGGTGAGCTGGAATTCAAGAGTAATATTTTGGGTTTTGTTGACGTCCTGAGTCCGATTCCGAAGTCCATTTCGCCAAATTTGAACTCGGTAAGTTGTTTTTACTGATTTATCACCCGATTCGATTCATTTTTCGCAATTAAGCTCTGTTTTTGATGAAATTTATGTTGTTATGTATTTGAGGAATTATTGGTAGTTGAATTAAAGATTGAGGGCGTTCGAATGGAATTTAAATGGTCGATCAGTATGGCACAGAAATCGAGGTAATACTTTACTACCTCTTTATGCTTTATGGAACATGTGGATATTGGTAAATGCATGAATAAGATAATATTGGTCTCATATGTGTAGTTAATTAATTTCTACACTCGATCCGAATACGATAAAAATTCGGTAACTGATTATGGTTCAGATGACTTTTATAAGAAACTGATGGATTATTAGAATTAAAATTACAAGTTATGTGTATAGTGATAAAGGTACTTGGATGGGAAATTATGATAATATTTCGGTATTGTAAAATTACGGAAATACCCTTATGTTGTAAGATGACAAGAATTGTCCCTGGAAGTTGTTTAATAACTCTGAAAGGATATATTGATCTGATAAAACTATATATGTGCATAAGAAATGCTAGTTTGCTTAGAAAATTTTGATAATCGGTTTTTAACCCAATAGAGTTTATGCAAGATATTAGAAGTCTGTTAATCAATCATTTCAAGATCCGAGAATGTTCGGGTAAGCAATTAAGCATAGAATCTCTGAACTATATTTATTTTCGTTAAGAGTTAATACTAAAAGTGTATGGGTGCGAAACTACAAAAATGCCATTGAGAGTTGAAAATAGTCCAAGTTGACTCTGAATGAGAGAGTAACTTGAGAATTTGTTTTTAAATCGATAAATTACTGATTTGATTGTTGGGATCCTATCTTTATATGGAAAATTCTGAAAATTCATTAGTAACATTTGAAAAGACATTTAACTTGGAAATTACCGAATTCTGAAGAATGAGTTATCGAAGGTGCTCTTTAGTCAGAATTGTTTGAAAGGACTGAAGTAAGTGATAAGATTAAATTAAATAATAAGATCGGACGTAAGGAAATGATGGAAATACATTGGATCTGTAAAATGACCAAAATACCCCTGGAATGGAAATGACTCAAGAATGTCACCAAGCTCGGGAATGAATGGATATACTTAAGCTTTGAAATGAATAAAAAAAACGTTGAGCACCCAAAATGACCAAATGCCCTTATGACCTAGAATAAGTAAATGTCTTGGATTAATTAAGAAATCCAAATAAACATGGATGTTGTGCTACCAGTAAAAGTTATGGAACACAGCTTAAGTGATCAACCAACGCTAGTGCTATATCATTACCTAAATGATATAAGTACCACTTGAATGTTTGTTCATCATCTCAAATTTGGATCGATGATAATTCTGGAAGTACTTGGCTCAGCTCAACTCTAGAGCGCATACAGTACTAATAAGTGGGTATTCATGAGTCAAATCAACCACTAATACCAGAATGACTTTATTATATGAATAAATTGAACTGAAAGGAAGTACAACATGTATTTGAAATTCAGAAATGTCTGAATTATTCTAGAAAACTCTAAAGTAACTGGATAGACTTGCTTACTAAACGAACTAAGTAACCTCAATGACTGAGGATTAAATAGGTGATTGGATGAGTTTGGAAACACTGTTGGACTTACATGATGAATTGTCCTTATGGGTTGAACCATGAATTAAGTTCGTCGTATTTCCTGATATCGTTGAAACGTGGAAATGAAATAAAGACCGTTGGAAGATCTATTCAACGATGATTATGGGGATGATTTATGGATCTGCATTATGGTATTAAAAATGAATACACTGGAAGGATAATGAATGCTTTGTTGACATGTATCAGTTTGGGAGTTGTGTAACTCAAGTTGTTTGATAATACGATCAATAGTCATAGATTGTAAATGAATTGAATCTTCGATTCTATATTTTCATCTAAAATTATAAGGTATGACTCATAAATATACCGGTAAAGAGGACAGGGGATGGAGCGGAGTGAGCGAAGCGAACGCAGCGAACATCAACTGTCCTTACAAAGAACGTCTCGTAGAGGAGGTTACGATTATGTGGGTTGGGGGTACGGGGGCTGCGCCCCGTGGTACGATACAGGTTTAATTTTGTAATTATGTACCAAGGTTTTCTATTATAAATAGAGATGTAACCTAAACCTATGAGAATTGAATAAAATTTTCTAGCGCCGCCTAGGCACCGAGGACGTAAGCACATTGCCGAATCTTGTTAAAATTCTTGTGTTCTTTCGTTTACTTTGCCCGATTTATCAACAATTGGTATCAGATGTCAGGAGCAAAATTCGAAGTCGCGAAATTCAATGGTCTGAGTACTTCGGATTATGGCAAACGAGGGTGAAGGATCTGTTGGCGCAGCAGGGGATCCTGAAGGCTTTGCGACCTACAAAGCCGACGTCGATGGAGGAGGAAGATTGGGAAGAATTGCAACAACGAGCGGCATGAACCATACGATTATGCTTG